TTTTTATAATCTAAATTGTGAAGTTCACTTACGTTGTACAGAGAAATTGTGACTGTAGGACCTGGCTTTCAGAGTTGTCTCACTCAGCTAGCTTTACCAAAGCAAGCAGTGATAATCACTACCAAATATCTACTAAGAGCCAAATACAATATATGCTCAGCACTGTGCTCTGTGCAGTGTAAAGCCTGAGCAGCAAATGCTTGGAAAGGTCCCGAATGCACGTAAGGCCTATAAAATGCTAAGCTGTCTGGAAAGACATCTTCAAAATCTCTTCAAAATTAGGCAATCTCCAAAGAAGATTAATTTGACAAGTTCTAAAGAAAAGCAAATTTTGACAAACCTATATAGCAGGCCAACTTATGAAGAAATGTAAAATCATCTGCTGATGTTGAATGAGACATTTTAGGTAAAAGGAACAGGACAGTGTTATGTTTTCACCAAATAGGCTTTCATTTCATTTATTGCAATTTCATAATGAGCAACGCAAACATAAGTTAAATTTAGCTCTCTCATGTCTTGCAGTAAGTGCAGCTGTATGTGCAACCGTGTGTTAGTGGCAATATTTTATATTCGAAGGGCTTAGTGGAACCCTGATGCAGACATCATGGTTGTCAAGGAAACAGCTGTTTTCTAGAAAATGCTAGTTTCAAAATGTTAACACTTTTGAGAAACAATGCAGGAAATAAATCACTTGAATAATGAATACAAGCACCAATTATGTTATAAAATCATGCATTTACAATGCTATTTTTCCTGTTCTAAATAAACTAATTTATTTTTATAAGAGAAAGGATGAAAATATCCTTTTCAGCTGCTCAATCTGCTACATTTATAGTACAGACACAGATGGAAAGACATGCTGACAATACCAAAAATTCAATGGAAAAAAATTACTTTCAAGATCAAATATATTCACTTAATCCTCATGTTTTCATGTGCACTTCCCTTGGAGGAAGACTGTGTTTTTAGACCTAACAGAATATACGCACTGAACGTATCATATAAATGAAATGCTGATAAATGCTGGATGACACGATATGGTACTGTCCAATAACGGTAGCCACTAGCCATTAAAGGCTACTATCTTTAAACTGACTAAAATGAAATAATATTAAGAATTTAGGTCCTTGGTCACACTGCCACATTTCAAATGTTCAATGGCCTCTTGTGTCTTAGTGGCTACCATACTGGACAGTGTAGATATAAAATATTTACATCATCACAGAAAGTTCTATTGAGTAGCACCGATACAGAAGTACTGGAAGACATAGAAAGGGAAAAAAAATCTTTAACAATACAAACATGTAAAACTGTGGATTCCCTAACCATTCAGTTGGGTATATGCATAGATAACAACGATCTGAGTGGAAATAAGTCTAGTGAAAATAAGGGTGAATAGTGAATTCAGGGAAAACAAGAATAATTACTATTCCAGTAAATATGAAGATAGCTTTTGCCCAGGAGACCATAGAAAGTTAGGAAATGTTGTGATCTGGAACACAGGGGTGATTGAATAAGGGCACACACAGTTTATCAGCATTGGTCTTAAAAGCAGTGTTAAGTTTCACCTCGTTATTTTCTACCTTTTATACTATCCTTTTCAGAATCATATGTTTTCCTAGGTAACATTAAAAACTTTATATAAATTAATGAAACT